TATATATATATATATATATATATATATATATATATATATATATATATATATATATATAGTCTAATAAAAGTAGAAAGTTGCAATGCGAGTGACACATTACCTATGGTGGTGTTTCATCTTCTCAGGGATGCTCGATCCCCTGCTAGTGATTGTTGTTGTTTCTCCCTCTCCCCCATGGTGGAAATCTGATAACTCTGGATGGAAACTGTCAGAGATCAGGGAGAAAGTGGAAGACTTGCCGGCCCCCTCATCGTCAGAACTAGCAGGGGAGGAATAGACTGCCTCCCGCCTGCTTTTGGGGGGCTCGGAGGTAGGCATGATGGTGACTAGTACCTGCGAAGAAAGGAGCGAATGGAGCGCTAGGTCTTCCCGGGCCCCACTTTTCCCCGCCTCGAATAACGCTCGACTCTCCCCACCCCGCTACTCGAGGCTACGGCCTCAGCCCCTCTCGCCTCCATCTCTGGGGTTCTCCTTTCGCCCATCAACACCCCCAGCCCTCGCGCCTCCCCCTTCCCTTTCAACGGTCCAAGGACGGAACGCCGCCACGCTACCTGAGGCCGCCGCTTCTAAACCCGCAGCGCCTACTCGGCTCCCACTCGTCCCTGCGGCACAGCCGACTCCACCAATCATTATGCGCTATGGGTGCCATGGCAACAGAGACGCCTCCCTGCGTCTCTCTCAGAAAGCCCGCCTTAGAGCGTCTCGGTGCCCGCTCCGCTTTGGCGGTGCGTGGCATTAGGCTCCTCCTACCTATCTACTTCTCCCGAGAGCTAGTTTTCATTTTAACCTTTTCCTTCCCTGGGTGACTTACAGCGATTTAATAAATGCTCAGAGCCCACAACTGCATGTGTGGGTCTGTTATAATCCTCCCGGCTTTTTCTCTCGCTGTCCAGTTATATCTGGCTGAGTTACTTCAACAATGCATCGCCTCCGTCACTATTGCAGGCGAATCTTCATTTCACTACTGGGCATCAAGCTGGCGCGAGTGTTTTTGCGCAACATGTCAAAGCTTAGCCAAGGGGCTTAAGTTCCCCGTGAGGCTGAGGCTTGGAATGAGGAAACAATGGAGTTCGAGCGCTGCTTGCATGTTTTTTTTTCCTCCCCTCCTCCCCAACCTCTGCTGGAATCTGAATTAGGAAGCTTTTCAGACAAACAAATCCGTTCCCGAACCCCTTCAGGTTCTGAATTATGATATTTTTACGCTGCTTTTCCTGCTAACATGGGGCAAGTTACTCCCCCCCCAAAAGATGTTGAGACTTTGGGCAAAAAGTGCAAAGAAGAGCACTTTTAAAGCCTGGAGACTAAAACATATGAAGCACGGTTGCAGGGTTTGGATTTGGCTAGAATAGACTAGAGAAAAGAAGGACTAGGGGGTTTATAATAGTAGTGTTCCAGTATTTGAGAAGCTGCCACAAAAAAGGGGGTCAATTTATTTTCCAAAGCATCAGAGGGCAGGACAAGAAACAATGGATGGAAATTAATCAAGGACAGAAGCAACCTAGAAGAGTAACCTCCTATCTATGCGGACAATTAACTAGTGGAGCAGCTTGCCTTCAGAAGTTGTGGGCGTTTCATCACTGGAGATTTTTAAGAGGTCACTTGTCTGAAATGGTATAGGGTCTCCTGCTTGAGCACGGGGTTGGACTAGAAGACCTCCAAGGTCCCTTCCAGCTCTATTCTAAGTGGCAGCCACTAGTGTACCTTCAACCATCACTCTTCCCTGCAACCTTAGAAAATTAAAAGCTCCCAGACAGGTTTCAAAAATTCAGATGATCAGTGGATGGTATTCTTTGCTCCCTTCTAGTGATTGTTTGAATCTTTTTGCAATACATATATGATAGCCCGTCTCCATCATTATGGATGCAGTTTTTGAATGTTCCTTAAATACGTCCAGAACAGCTCCCTTTTTAGAGAAATCTTTCAAGCAGATGTTATCCCTGCTTATGCAACCATCTGTTTGAAGTCACTTTGGAACTTGTTCTATAGGTTCTTCACTATCAAGACAGCCAAGTTCTCAATTCCTGCCCTGGATGAACCACCCTTTGATTCATGGCTTACTGGATGCCTCCTCTGACCTTAGAGTCCAGAGTGCTGCTATTTATACTGTTGTAGACTTTCTTGCCAACTGCTGCATTGGTTGGGAAGGCAAAAAGATAGCAATACCAACTGACAGTGTTGACATATTATGCCCCAGATGTGGACACACCCAATTAGGTGGATCTGGTAGTTCATGAACCTCAGGGCACAACCCAAATACCAAAATTGCCACATTATGATTAGGAACTTCTTCTCAACTGGTTTCATGATATCAGTTATATATCATTCATATATAATCTAATGTAGCATTAGGTTATATATGTATACTCTAAGAAATGTAAGCATGACAACAGAACATATTAGAATACTTTCTTGTTTTCATTTTTATATAATTTTACTAAGAACAATTTAGGCTTACAAAATTATAGTATACAAGAATGATAATAGCTCATATTTTGTACAAGTTAAGTAATTTTGGTACACAAAGCTTCTGGCTTTTATTACAGTAACAATATACAACTGAAGTTTATTTACAATGGAAAAAAATATAAACCACAATTTAAACATTCTGCTACTGGCAGCTTCTATACTTGAGGAGGTAGCTTTAATTAACAAAAGGTACTGAAGCCACATTTCCCATCAAGTGTTCTATCAAATAATTTACAAACCAAGAAAAATTCTTTTTATGCACACTATGTACAGTTTAAATTTCCTAACTGCAATTCTAAAGTTATTTAATAAGAATATGTGCCAGAATTTCTGGTTTGGCAGTAGAATTGCTCTCATTTAACATTTTTGTTCGAAAAGATGTAGCTTATATGCATTGATAACTAGAGAAAAAGGTTAATTCTAAAATGCAATGATCTATGTATCTCCTTGCTTGCCCTTTTAAGGAAAGTCAGCCTGGTTTCACATTACTGTAACATAACAATGAAATAAAAAATCCCAAGTATAGGTACTTTGCGTTGTTCTGTCTCTATATTAGGAACATCTCAGCCTCCTTTAGCAATAGCACTATAACATTTAGTCTTATATACTACTTCACAGTGCTTTACAACCCTTTCCAAATGGTTTTACAGAGTCAGCATATTGCCCCCAACATTCTGGGTCCTCATTTTATCCACCTTGGAAGGATGGAAGGCGGAGTCAATCTTGACCCTGGTGAGATTCAAACTGCAAATTGCAGGCAGTCAGCAGAAACAGCCTGCAATAGTACATTCTAACCACTGTGCCACCAGTTTTTACTCGTATAAAACCTATTCTGTTAATATAGTCTACCCCAGATTTTGCTGTGTACCTTTCAGATGTATAGGATCACCTATTAATTAATTGGCAATTGGAGAGCACCAATTTGGGGAAGATCGTAGTATTTGCTGCAACTTCACTGAAAATGATACTTTAAAATGATTTTCATGTACACAAAGTAGTTTTTGTTTTTGTTTTGCTGTCAAAACAACATATAACCCAACATGCACATTTAAGATTATAGGATGATTGAGAATTCTGTTGCCTTTGTGAAAATTGCTTAGGGAGGTATTAGAAAACCCACAAAATGCCTGCAGCCCATTTTCCAATATACATATGTAGATAAGAACATCCCCATTTTAGAGGCGAGAAACAACTATTATGGCAGAACTCCAAAGTGAATCTCAAGACTGGAGGAATGTTCTAATAGTATATATTTTCATCAGAAGTTAAATATTAGTGCAGCAAACCTGAGTTTGATGTCCATTTAAGTATGCAAAAGATCAGTTTCAAATTGTTTTCAAGCAGTACTCTCAAAATAAAAATTACTATGCCAAACTACTCAGAATATATTATAGGGGTGATATGTATTTGGCTGAAATAAATAATTTTAATTATAGACAAATTAATCCATAATTTGACCTAAGAAAATGTTTTTTTGCCTGTATTTATCTCACAGTTGCATATGGGAAAAATATTCCCATCTTTTGGCCCTGCAGTAAATTGTCCTGAGATTCAGTCAAAAATGCTATACAAAAGTTAGCAACAGCTCCCCTGCCCAGTTTCCTCCCCCTAAAATCTATAATATTCTGCTTTTTTGTGCTTATTTATAAAAGTTATCAGGTTCAATATCACAACAAAAAATGAAATTAAAATTGCGTAACATGGAAATAAGCTTCAAATATATAGTTGCTTGGAAAAAAGGTTTTTAAAAATGGATTACAAATTTTGGTTTTCTAATTATTTACAGAAGGAGCAACAGCTCTTATTTAAAATGTATAGCTCATGGTACTTAGGCATACATCCCTTATTTATAATTAATATCATACAATGATTAATAAAAGTGCTTTCAGATGAAAGAATGAAACAGGCATGGTCTATATGAAGCATCATGCTTCCTCCTTTTTAGCATATGGATTGCTTGCAGTAAAGCCTTTCAGTCTTTAATCCTCGGGGTGTTGTAGGCATAACGAACTAAGGGAAAGCCTCTGCTCTGATAAAAGCAAGCACGTCCACAGGCCTGCACCTGATCTGAACTATCCGATACAAATGAGTCCTCTTCGTCAGCGTAATCAGAATGGGCAGACTGCGTACCACAATCTGACCAACAGCCGTCAGGCCTTTGGCAAGGCACTACAGTCAAAGCAGGACAACTGTGAGATTTTACTAAATGTTTACATGGTGCAGGCTTGGATATAAGAAGTGACTCACAACATTCGCACATGGTTAAGCTACCCTGCAGATGGGTGTACATGCTGCAGTCGTAGTAGAAATCCTGAGTCCTACAGCCAGTTTGTGTATTGACAGCAACTGTTCCAGTCCCATTCCTCTTGGTGATGTGCCATCTCAGTAACTTCCAATCTTCCTTGAATTTGGGGTTGAAGAACACATATAAAACTGGGTTCAAACAAGCGGGCAGTGGAAAAAATATCAGAGTGACAGACTTCATAATTTCAGGGCTGATGGCGATTGCAGTGATGAGTGGAGCAAAAGAGAAAAATGCAACAGGGCAAAAAAAGATGCAGTTGGTGAAGATGAGCCAAGCAACATGTTTAATCATGCTAGCTTGATTGTTCTTGGAGAGATCTTCCTTTTCTAGCTTGCAGTAAAGTTTTGTATAAATAACAGCCATTAGCAAAAAGGCTAATGAGTTAAGGAGCACGAGAGTAACCGTGAAGCCCAAAGAAGGGGCTTCTCCAGTAGGAAAGGGTAAGCAAAGGGGTGACCCAGAATATTCTCCTTTATGGAAGACTGGCAAGCATGCTGCTATCAATGTACACAAGAATGCAAATACGGCTGCAATTCGAAATTGTTTTCGATGGCTGCTTTTACCCTTTTTAATGATTTCTTTGGCAGACAAGCTCCGTTCAATAGTAGCCAACAAAAGGAAAAAAATTGCCCCTTCTGAAGAGAAGATAGCCAGAAACCGAGCCACTTTACAACCATTGCCAGTCTCCCACCAAATACCAAATTCAGCAAACCGTCCCCAGGAAACTGCATCCAGGAAAGTTAATATACCGGTGTAGATCCCCATCAGTAAATTAGAGATAGAGATCAAGCCAATGAACAATTTGATCGAAGGAAGTGAAGTAGAAGAAACAAATATACTTAAGATGACAAGCACATTGAAGAGTAAGGCCACCAAAAAAATAAACCAGACTGTAAGACGAATCATCCAGCTTCCCAGTAAATATTCACATGGCTTGAAAGCACCTAAAAAAGAGGAGGGGAAATATGCTAAGAGAAAAATATTGCTAGTTGCAGCATATTATATAACAGACAAGTATTTTTTTTTCTTGAAAACAACAAGAACATTTACAATCAAGGTTAGATTAATGGAAAAGATAGATAGTGGAGCAATTAGGTAAGAAAATACTCTTGAAATAACAATCAAATGAAGACACACTTGAGAAGCAGTTTTATAACCTAGGTGAAATAGATCAAAATTCAATTAAGCTTCACATAATCAACTGACTTGCACTTATATATAAATAAGTGCTTGATTGGATCCAATTGCCAGATGGCACTTGGGGAATTTCCCAATGATCTGGAGCACAGTTGAATCCTTTGTTGGCTTATCTGAAGATATAAATAAGAAGAATGCTAGACAGGACATCTCCCAAGTATCTCATCAGCCCGCTGATGCCAGGAAGCTCCTTGGTATACTGAAGAATTTCGGGAAATTCATGTTGCAGAGCTTCTGCTACTGGTATATATTTTTTACCAGTTATACTTAAGTATTTCTGATATTGTGCAATATAACTGCATTGACTGAAGTTGTTGTTTTTGTGCCCTGTTTAAAGAAGCCTTGACTGAAGCGTTTATACATTCATAAATGAATATGTGTAAAATAGAAGTACTGATGCAATTAGTATTTTCAGAAAAGAAAAAGGAGAATGATTTTTTTTTTGAAAATCAGAAAACAAGCTACTTGCCAACTGTTCATAACTTTTTAGCTCTGCTCTTCCACTTAGTAAAACTGAGAAGAAAGTGGAACACTACTTCACTTATTCATACTTCTACTACAAAATCTATTTTGCATCTGCTTCCAAACCTCCTAAGCAGTAGCATATCTAAACATGGTAAGGATGTAAAGCATTAAGCAGAAACCACAGGGCAGGAAGCACAGTTGAACAGGATGACATTACTCCCTGGGAACAACTGGATAATGCAGAACTTGCAATAAGTGCCTGGACTACTGCCTCATTAGAAAATAAGACCCTTTTTACATTGATAATGTCCTATTTATCATGGATCAAAATTAATGTCCTTTCTCATGCTAGAAGAAGAATAGGAAAATATCAGTGTAAAGAGGGTCTTATGGCGTACAGTACAGTACATGAGTACCATCTCTGGAAACAGTGCCATATTTCTAAGAATGCTGAAGAAGCTTGCATTTTTTATTTCAAAGCCTTGGTCTGCAATTTTTGAGAATTCAGTTTGTCTGTCAGTCTGAATTCTGAGAGAATGCTAGCACACAGACATGTTATCTTTGACAAAATTAAACAACTGCATATTAATAAGGGCAAAGCAGCCTATTAAAGATCAGTTAGAGAAAAATATATGCTTTTTATTAAGAGCCAACATATTTATCAATAATTAGTCAACCCAATGAAAAATCCTTATTTTTTTTTCAAAATAGCATGATAAATGAAGGAAAACCAAAAATGTAAGTACACTTTGATTTCGGCATAATATGCACGAAGCTCCTCATTTTGTTGTTAAAAGAAATAAAATGTAGGCTGCATAATATTCCTCTATTTATTTAGAATTATTTGGCCACCCAACTTTCTATAGCAACTCTGGACAGCTAATAGATAAAAACACAAACAAGAAACAAAACAACAAATATATAAAACTTATAAGTCTTTGCATATATAGGAAACAAAGCAATATATATAGAAGAGAAATAGTCCAAAGATGTAAAAAGGACCAAGTTGTTTTAGCTCATCAAAAGCTATATGTGATGCAGCTACTTACAAAATCAATTTTATACTGCACACACTTGATCTTAGCCAAAAGGCCGAGAAGCGATAATTTTATACTGCATAAACTTATCATGTCTGCATCAGTGGACGTAATTACTCTATGCAATTATATTCTTGATCATTAAGGTCATGTCTACGTGCTATATTTTAATAAGGTCATTAATAAATCAGAGTCAGAAAATTAAATTCTATCATTGAATACATTGAATAAGCTTAGGTTGCAAAACAGAAAATTAAAACTAGTCACAAAACACTATCTGCAAACTTATCATGATGTCATGCAGAAGGCATGAGAAGTAGCCACAGATGCAAACGGGAAAGGAAGCAGACTTTGCAAAAACATTAGTTATTAACAGTGTCAGGCAGTGGAACAGATTGCTTTAAGAAGTAAAAGGTCTCTGAAAGAATGCTTAAGCAGATGCTGTATGCTGTAGATCAGGGGTGTCAAACTCACATCATCACGGCAGGATCATGTGACGTATCAGTACTTTCCTCCCTTCACTAAACCAGGGATGGGCATGGCCAGCGCATGACACATCCGGCCTGTAGGCCAGAAGTTTGACAGCCCTGCTGTAGATGCCTCCTCTACTGCACATCCTTTAATATTTTGAAGAGCAGGCAAAATGTCATCTGACAAAAGGCAGACAGCCAAGAAAACTACCTGTATCCTTTATCACACAATTAATTATATACTTGAAGAAAGCAAACATCTATAACTTTATCTGAAATAGAAAGGGAGGTGGACACAGAATATGTACCTGTGGTGGGAGTACAGTGGATTACTGTTTGACCTGGTTCTTTCACTTCAGCACTGCTTAAGTCATCTACATCTGGGGTACCTAGATTAAAAGAACCAAAAATCAGATATACAGAAATATTAAATTCTGCTTCATATATTTTATTTTTAAAAATTACAACTCAAGAAACTAACTTTTTTTTTCTCATCAAGTCAATCTTGACTCTGAGTGATTGCCCAGACAAAGAGAAGTTTTAGAAATTCTTTTAGATAGGACAGCTTTTCATGGGAATAGCATTTTTACATGGAAATAGAGTCAAGGATAAGCATATTGTTATGCAATTATCCTTCTTCAGATATAATTCAATTATTTCATGTAATAAAAATTATTTGGACCAGGCTCTGATATGCCATTACTTTGGAATTTCTTGACCAGAAATATTATACATGTCTATACTCAAATCATGGCAAGCAAACATATGGATCAGCCACAACTGATCTTAATCATGAAATGATATAGTGTAGAAACAAAATATTCTGCATTACTGTTTAAATAGGTTTAAATAGGATACTATGTTCAAAGTATAAACATAGTTAACATCTGAATACAATAGCACATACTCTATTAACATCATTGAATCCTTTCAAATTGTAAATAACCTGTATATATTATTATTGTATCAGAGCACTCACCTTGATCATTTAGGATTTCTCGACTCTGATTTTGGAGGCTGGGGTCTTCAGGATTAGAATTCAAATAAGAGTCACAACCCCAGAAAGGACAACATTGGTAGGCATAAGGAACAGAGAGAGATCTGAAAGTTTGAAGAGAATAATAGGGGAGGGAGGAGAGAGAATATTTATTTTACTTAATACATTTGTATTTTGCTATAATTTGATTGTGGAACAAAGCAATAAAGTTACAACAATAATGTATTAATAAATAAAATAGAATAGTAAGGAAGAGATCATAATTATGGGCCCACAAAAAAAACATAACTTTCTATATAATATCTGACCAGGACTTAGTAGCTCCCTCATTCTAAACCTGTTGCATTTCTTGAGGTTGCTTTGAGGACATCCCCATTTACAGTACATTTTAGTAACTTCTCAGGAAAGTCATTGATGGTAATACTGGCTGGGCCAGAAATGTAATTGGTAAATCCATCACTGATAAAAATAGGGGCTATTCACAATCACGCTAGCGCACCCAGAGACAATCCTGACCTTGTGCCTCCATTAGTCATATTGCCAAACTGCTGGCATATCTGAATAACTTTCTCAGAGAAAACAAAAACACAAGGCATTCACAATTTGCTATCACAGACTCTAACAGACCTTCCCAGAACTTTCTGAAGTTACATCAGCAACCATACTAGCAGAACAGCTTCCTTGGGTGATTTTCCACAATTCAGTGGTAGCAAAGGGAAATATTTTCTCCCTGGTGTAGCCTTCTAAAACATGATATAGTCACATTTGCTTTTAGATTTCTGCCACTGACAGTCTAGCGATCAGTATGACTGCTTCATCACTCAATTTTTCACTAAACTAAGGAGATCAACTGTTTTGATCAAGAGTCAAAACATGTTTAGGAGTCAATTAATCAATGGCTTTAGTTGGTCATTCCAGTCCGCCATACCAAAGGCCTCAACTGAAAAATGGAATAACAAGCAAATTCTGGAAGTCACAGGATCCAAAAGCTGATGGGCCGTTATTAACTGATTCATCCATGATAAAAGGTTTCATGACAAGGGAGTAGCTACAGGTTCTTCCACTCATGGAATACTTTCCTCAGTACAGAACATCTAGTCCAAAGTGTTTCCTGATCGAGAAGTGGAGGTAGAGATTACCTGAGATAAACTAAAGAAAGTCACAATGACCATGAATTAGAGCTTGAAAATCTCAAGCAGTAACATAAGACTCAAGCACTAATATAAGACTCAACTCTCTAAGACTAGTACTATTAGTTCAATTAGGAAAGTTCCTGAGCAGCAGGGTATCTAGGGTGCCTTAATTTTCTCACTCTGCACTAGAACCCTTAGCCTGTATCATTTTAGGCTTTGTCATGAGAATGGAATGGAAATCCTTTACAATGATGGGATCTTTTCCCTCCCTGAGGTCCACTTAATAGCTCTACTTCAGATCACAGAAACCATCTGAAATTAGATGATACCATCCAGCTCACCCAACCAGGTGTCTGTCACACATACCATCTTTTCATTCCAGATCAGATCATTTATGAAGTGGATCTCATTCATGTCCCATTTGGTATTCAACAGGAGAATTCACAAGCTTTTGTTCCCTCCCCTCTTTAAGCAGCAGCATATATTTTTTTGAAACAGATAATTTTTTTCCCCAAAAATATGTTCTGAGAAAACAGGTTAAAATCAACGTTGAGATTTTCTAAAGCTTGACTTTATTCAGAGAAAAAGGATATAGACTAGACTGATACAAACTGAAAATTAAGAAAAACACATCTGAATGTAATCCAACATTATGTTAAAGTGTTGTTATCTTTAGGGAAGCAAGATGTTTTGTGAAATCATGTTGTTACCTGTGCATACTGAAACGAACATTCATCAAGTTGGCTGGAGAGCAACACCCTTGCGTAAGTGAATTCCCAGGAAAGCACAGCACTAAGCCCACACCTGTCATTCTTATTGTTCTCTCAGGTTACATGAAATTCTAATGCTGTAAGTCTGGGTTTCCTGCACTGTCTCTCTCTTAACTCAATTCAAGGAATGCCAGAACTATTTATGCACTCAGAATGGGTCAGATTCATAGTTTATATTATTTTTAATTATATTTGGTCACGTTGCTTTTGGTTATTAAAAAACTAGTAACTCCAATTAACCTTAAACATATAACAAATGAAAAATACCACCATTAGAATAGTAAAATATTATCACTGCTAACAGAAATAGGATACTAGCTCAGCCTCTCTCTCTCTCTCTCTCTCCCTCTCCCTCCATCCCCCCTCCCTCTCCCCCCATCAACCAATTTCCAAGTAGCAGGAATACATCTGCCCTGTTAGGCATATTCAAAATGACGTTTCCATAGGAGATGTGTAAGGAATAAGAAGAAAAGCCACAACTAAGACATCAGTCAGATAAAAGAAATCTGGGGCAGGAATGTAATTTGAGAAAGTGTTTCAGACATGACCTTCCCTAGATCTCCTGAAGATATAAAAAGAGGAAAAGGGGAAGTACATTCAGACTTGCAAGATTCTGTTACTATAACCTTATAATAAAAGTATTAAGTTGTGTGTTTCTGGGTTTTGTGTACTTTGGAGGACTGTCAAAAGTTATTAACAACCAACAGAGCCTTGCCCTTTATTTCTTCTGAACTAGCCTTTAACAAGGAAATAACTCAATTAAAGTTGACTTCTGCAAATGTTTGTGTATTTGGTATACTATACTTGTGTATACTTGTCATACTATTTTCTTGCCATTGTAGACTGAGCAGAAATAATGGATGTCGTTGCTCTTTTAAAAGTATAATACTTTGGGAAAACACATTCCATCCAGTAATTATGCTGACAATGTCAGTGTTAAAAGATTTACAATGATCCACTACTCTTTTTTACCCGGGTAAGAAATGAGAGGGAAAAAGATAAGGAAAAGATTAATTAAAGTATGATTAAAATACATTACTTGCTGCTCTAAAATAATGAACATCTGCTCAAAAGCTGAAGAATCCTAACAGTTGGGATTTCTTACACCCAGACACTGTACTGTATTAACATTCCTATTCTACATATCAAATGGGAAATGTACTTTTCCCTCCAATTTCCTTATGATGAACACACAGAACAAAAGCTTAACTGTATCAAAGTCAATATGCACGTCTACTCACTACAGTATACTGATGCCAATACTTTATGGTGTCAGGTCCTACTATCTATTTATCAGCCAGAACCCAGTTTAGAGTATTACTTGTTCTATGAATACAGATTACAAACTTCCCTAAAAGTATGCTGGGAATTTTTCTTTTACAGATTCTTGCTTACTCCCTTTATATTTAGAGGTTAAAACTGATAAATATTATCTCAATATTTCCAATATGAAAGCCAATTATAACAATAGCAATAGCAGTAGACTTATATACCGCTTCATAGGGCTTTCAGCCCTCTCTAAGCGGTTTACAGAGAGTCAGCATATTGCCCCCAACAATCTGGGTCCTCATTTTACCCACCTCGGAAGGATGGAAGGCTGAGTCAACTCTGAGCTGGTGAGATTTGAACCGCTGAACTGCTGATCTAGCAGTAGCCTGCAGTGCTGCATTTAACCACTGCGCCACCTTGGCTCATAACCCATTTCTGACTACCCAGCATTTATTGCCAACCTGACAAAGTACAACTGTCCCATGCAGCCAGTCAGCTAAATATAGCAGTAATTAAATGGGGATGGAAGGAGTATGAAAGACTGCAAGAGGACACAACCCAGACAATTTAGAGAAATCGGGAAATTAGAGCATTATATCAGCTAGATGGCTTGCATTTCTACCATAATCTTATTTTTTCATTTTTTTTTAGCCCAAACCTATCCAAATTTGCCCATTTGGTGGCGCAGTGGTTAAATGCAGCACTGCAGGCTACTGCTAGATCAGCAGTTCAGCGGTTCAAATCTCACCGGCTCAGGGTTGACTCAGCCTTCCATCCTTCTGAGGTGGGTAAAATGAGGACCCAGATTGTTGGGGGCAATATGCTGACTCTCTGTAAACCGCTTAGAGAGGGCTGAAAGCCCTATGAAGCGGTATATAAGTCTAACTGCATTGCTATTGCTATTTCTTACTTCCAAATTTCAACAGCATGATTTTAGGATGCTATAGGAGCCCTAGCAAGATGTGGGGGAGCATAAGTGGCCCCCGTGTTGTTAGAGTCACAGTTTCCAGGGTGGCAGCTTATGTTAAGTCACAGTTTCCAGGGTGTCAGTTCAATTAATTTGCTTGTACAACTTTCTTCTCCACATTAAAAATGTAGGAAGATTGCTTTCTAAGATACAAGGCTGTCTTAACTGAACTGTCACACTTTGGAGAAATCAACTGTAATCTGAACAGAACAACTATATAGTTAAAATATGAGGGTACTAACTTAATTATTGACTTACCTGAGTTTAGTGAAGTCCTTTGGTGATAATGTTTCTTTCAGTTCAGTATTGCCTATCAGCTTAAATTGCTTTAATCTACTCAGACCTCCAGTTGGAAATGAAGTCAGCATATTGAAGCTTAAGTCACTAAAGGGATGGCAAGAAAAAAAGCATGAGGGAAAACAAAAATACTAAATACTTGAATTTACAAAACAAAAACAGAAGAAATAGCAAGTAATTATACAATAAGAAGATTCTACTAAAAAGCTGCAATCTATTTTTTTGTTTACACTGTTTGTAGCCCTCCAGAAACAAAGGCATATGCTTAACAAAAGCAAAAAAAAAAAAAAAACCTTAGCTGAGACATGAAGGCTAGCACAAGATTATCTAGTGAGTTTCACGGTTAAGAATGAATGGGGACCCGATCTCTTTTACTGCATTTCACTGACTTTAGATTTCCTATTGCCATTAAAATGAATACATTTATTTTGTCTGACAAGCATCTTATCCAACAGGCAAAGCCAGATGATATTTACCAGTCTCTTTTGCTTTCCCACGCTTACAAGGGTTGTCATTTCTGACAACACATCAGCTTTTCCCACCTTGACAAAGTATAACTGTCCTATGCAGCCAGACAGCTAATTACTGGGCAGTAGTCGTTAAGTGGGGATGGAAGGAGTATGAAAAACTGTAAGAGCATATGATATAATTTAGAGAAATTGGAAAAATGTATTGTGTATGAGCTGATTAAAATTCTCTATTAGAAAACTTGTAACTTGTTGTCCCATATCCAGATCCATCCATATGCTGGATAGCTCTGAAAATTCTCTGGAGGAACCTATTGAAAAAGCACACTTCCTAGGCCCCAGGAGATGCCAACATTTAAGAGGAGGAACCTGAAACATGCACAATGTATCTGGAATAGGCAAATAACTTCAAGGAAAGATGGTTCCGTAATAACCTAGTCTGTGTCATGTACAGCTGTAAAGGTGATAACCAGCACCTGGGAAGAAATGGGAGCCAATGCAGCTTGAACAGCAATGGTGTAACATGGCAAACTAAGAGGTGGCCAATTCTGCATAAGCTGCTGCATTTTGGCGGCCTTGTTGTAACACGAAGCCCTACGTAAAGATTGCTGCAATAGTCCAACTGGGAAGTGCCAGGGCATGAGTCACTGTGAGCAAGATCTTCTGGTTCAGGAATGAGTTCAATTGGTACTTAACATGTTCCTTACCACCCAGACCATCACAGAATCCAGCATTGGGGAACTTCTAAAAGGCTTCTCGTTCCTGGCCAGGGATGGAGATGTACAAATAGTATATTGATGATATCACACCTTTTGCCATCAGATAATCTCACCCAACAAGGAGTGTTGAGAGATCTGCACTCTGAGGTATCCCACATGGTAAATGCCATGGGTTGGACCTCTCTTTCCACCTCCAACACAAAGTGCTACTAGTTGTGGAGAAAGGAGAAAAAACAGTGGAAAAGAGTGCCTTTCTCTAACATTCCCCACATCCTGTTCAGATATCATGGTCGATGGTATTGAAAGGCCCCAAGAGATCCAGATTCCCTTTGCATGAGATCAGGAAATAGCGATTTGAAAGAAAATCAATATCAATCTAGTTTCCACAGACTTTTTCATTGATGTGCAATAAAGTATGTGATGAGGTACTCGTTCATATTATTTTTGATTCTTTTTAAATACAGGATGAATGGTTTTAACACACTGTGTAAAAGAGAATTTTCTGAGAAGTTATAATATTTTAAGATTGGAAATGCGCACTATGCTAAATGGCCTACTTACAGGTTGGTAATAGCACCAAGTGTAGTAAATGCTTCCTTGTTAACCCGGTGGATCACATTTCTGCTGAGATCACTGCAATTTTAAAAAGAACTATTGTGTTAGTGATTTACACTGACACTTTCAAATGGTCATTGCTTGCAGTTCAGTGATTACATTATGTTTTAGGTCACACTAAGTTTCTAACAGATAAATAACTTGAGTTTATCTGTATTTTACAATGTCATCTTGACAATTTTCTTTATCCAATTCTTTTAAAAACACTTAATTCAATGGAAAGCTTTACAGTTTGGGGATGATAAAGGTCTAAGTTCCACACAGTATGAAATTGTAATATTCTGTTTGTTTTCTGTTCTCTAAGGCACCAGCTTACCTAAATCAGAATGCAATTACATCTTGAAACCTGGGAACTGAACACCTGCTTTGTTGCTAGAAAAGGTCACAAGACTCTACTCCATATATGAAAATGCCTTTACGGACACCAGAGTGGAAACTAATATAAAAATGGTTTATCTTTGCATTTAAATTCTATTTTGCATGACAAGTTAATTTAACCAGTTGCTTCCCATCATAAGATTTATCCATATGCTATCAGTTTAATGGAACACTTTCCCTATAATATCTGCATGCTATCTCAGCCTACACTACTTTATGGAAATTGATATTGAAGAGCTGATTACCAAGTGTGTGTGTGTATATGTGTGTACTATTTATTTCTTAAAGCCTATCACTGTCAACTCTTCTGCTATAAACCTGCACTAAAAGCTGCGACTCTCTATAGCCACTCAATGAAGGAATCTGTAATTCAAATGCATTAAGAATCATTTTCATTTAAATATTTGTCAAGAACAAATGATTATTTACTAATCCCATCAGAAGTCAAATAGGTTTATGTATATTTGATTTACTTTGCAGAAAACCATATCATGGAACATCAGGACTCGTATGCTACACAAGATATATCCTTAGGATTCGACTTGTCCAAGAAAACATTTTACAATATCATATTTGTTTACTTACTATCAATTTGGTAAAACTTTTAAATGAGCAAAATGTGTAAGGAGGAGGTTGTATTTAGACAGATTAAATACATAGTCAGGAGAAGTGGACTGATTCTGAATGATGATTTATTACTGTTGTTTCTTATTTACAAAATTTGGTAGATCCAGGTGACAGTATCTAATCTGATTTTTTTCTTTTACTCCCTTCATCTTTTTTTCTTCATTCAAATTCACATATACACTTACATATTTAAAATATTAAAAAGGAAAAGGGGGAGGATTTATGTAATAAATTTTGATTGGCATCACTGAAACTACCCCAAGTCTGAGATAGGAAGCCAATAAACATTTTACTGATTTTTGTGTTGCTTTGGATAACCAGCTTGTCTTTCAAAACTGAATGCAACAATTCACTTTCAAACTTCTCTGAACATTTGTAAAGAGAAAGTATACTTACAGAGTATGCAAAGATGTTAGTCCCTGGAAGGTATCTTCTTCGATTTCCTCAATTTGATTATGCTGCAAATATCTGAAATGCAGTAATTAGTTATGTAGGAATATTTTCATCAAGAAAAGCTATACATCTGATGCTTCATTATATTCTGATGAAATAGAGTCCCATTTAACATGTGACTTAACACTAATTATTGCTTATAAAATAGTGTGAAAAACCAAAAGAATATCTTTGAGAGAGGAAGAAGAAATAAAATCCTTTTATCTGATGGTTTTGTAACATAACTGAAAATGAATGGAAATGATTCTGAGTCATGACCTGCAGTGCTTTTGGCAAATTTCTGTTCCTGTCTGAAAACAACTTGGCATACATTTGCATCCAGTATACGCTTGTAGCAGTGTCTAAAAACAAAGACTGGAGCACTAAGAGGTTAATACTTCACCTCCTAAGAGAATATGAACAATCATTAGATCACAGAAAGAATGTGCTATATCAGGAACTGACAGAGGAAGTAACTCTCCAAAGAGAAGAGGGTCAAACAAAGCAAAACATGAAGCGAATAATGACAACCAGAAGTAAGACATATATAAAATATCCTGTATTTCTACAACTCAGGAACATCTTTGAGACCTTGCTGAAGCTAAAGAAAGAGGCTAAAAATGACAGAATTAAATTTAACAGAGACAGGAAGGAAACAGAAATTAATTTCGCAGTACTGTAAATGCTTCTAACACTAATTACAACAGATTGTCTTCCACAAGAATACAGATTTAAGCACAACCACTTGCTGTGAATTATAAATTAATTAAACTTTTTTATTTGTTTACTTTATTTTAAAAGCTCTGGGCAGCAAACAATCAGAAATATCAAAAAGTCTCCCTCCACCCTAATAATAAAGATAAACACTTCAAAAATAAACTATCCACAAAATAAATCAAATATACAATCAAAATTACACAAAAGCAAACAAAGAAAACAATTTGATTGAATAACGTGGCCATGTTTGTGTTGATAAATCTTCTCCCAGAATACATAAATGCTCAAGATTCAAATTAACAGTCATAGTGCAACTTTTCCCCTCACTTGTTACAATAACCAGGTCTTAACTGCTCTCCTGAATCCCAGAGGGAAGGAACAAACTACATCTCTGTGGGGAAGCAATACCATAGTTTGGGAGCATTTATTCAAAAATGCCACTTCAAATGGACTGTCATCTAGAAATAACTTGGACAGTGTTGATACTATTCAACCTGACTGGACACGCAGATACAGTAAAAGACTGGTCCTGAGAACTACAGGCCCTGAATCATAAATCAGAAGCCAACGAAGAATCAGTGCAACACCTAAAGCAGAATGTTCTTCTCAGTATGGAGCAGTGGTAATCAACCTGGTCCCTAATGCCCACTAGTGGGTGTTCCGGCTTCCATGGTGGGCGGTAGGGGTTTTGTCCGATACTGAAGCACTTTCCTTTTTTAAAATTTAATTGACTTTTTAAAAAAAAATCATAGCATTATTTAAAAACATTTTCATTATGTTTTCATAAAATCACCATTACTGTGGAACCGGTGGGCGGTTAGAAAATTTTACTACTAACAGAGATACAAAAGTGGGCGGTAGGTATAAAAGATTGACTACCCCTGGTATAGAGATATAATACCTTATAATATCTTTATATACTACATAAATGTGTGGGCCACACTTTGTAATAGCTGAACCCTCTGAATGCTTTCCAAGGGCAGCCTCAGGTTGTAGTCCAAATGGGAGATGCCTCTGAGCAGGGTTATCTGGCCCAGAATTATTCAAAATGATCAGGTCAAAAAAAGATTTCTTGAGCAGGGTTCAGGTTATTCCAGAGCTAATGGAAATATCCCCTCACTGAAAGAAGTATAGATTGCTGCTTGAATCCATTCTCCTGCCATTTCACAGGAGGCCTTAATCAATCTTGAGAGATGTTAGAACTGCATTGGATTTCCTTATGACTCAGACTGATTTCAGATCCCCATTGGTACTGTCCAGTTAGAAGTCTGATGCTCTTTGACTCTGAAAAGTTCTATTGATCAAATGCTATGACAATCCTTCATAATTGTTCTTCAGATCTTCTTGGCAATCATCTTTCCTTAAAAGGGAACAAGTTGACTTAGAAAGAGTCAGAATTCAGCAGACACAATGAGAATGGCTACCTTTTTGCGATTCAAATTCCCACTTACAGGCTCAAATATGTGCTGTTACCATTGTCAAATTTGGTAGTTACTCTTCCTGACATCCTCTGTAATGTCTATGGAGATTCTCGGTCATCCAGGTCAAAGAGGCTTTTTCAAGAGGCAACTGGACTTCCTTCTTTTCCTGTTTGTTTGTTTTTTGGAGACATTTCACTTCTCATCCAAGCAGTTTTTTCAGCTCTGACTGGATGGTGGGGAATGGAAGGATTTATATTCCTTGCAAACACTTGGTCATTTGCATTCTTTTAGAGAGTCATTGAGGCCATAATAGAGGGGGGGGGGGTATGACATCATCTATCTCCAGTTTACAACATAGTCCTTCCAGCTGTTCCAAGAAGGCTCCACATCCATTTGCATTCTTCAGGTGACCCTGAGGACACAGATAAACTTCCAAATCCCCTCTAATGCTTCTTTCCAAACTTCTCAGTGTACTGCAGAGCTGGACTGGATCTGTGGGGGAGCAACTGCATTGGTGCAGTCTGGTCGAAACTATAGTTGCTATTTTATTCTAATGGATAACCAGGGTCTCATCCAAACAAATATTAAGACACTGACAGTCTCTTGTCTGAAATGGTATAGGTTCTCCTGCTTGAGTATGGGGTTTGACTAGGAAGCCCCCAAGGTCTCTTCCAGCTCTATTCTGATTGTTTGAAATATGGAAACCAAACAAAACAGAAATCACCAACAAATTAGATCCAGTGTGTTCTTTACTTACATTTCTTCTAGGGAACTGCAACCTTTAAAATGTGGAAGTTCTTTTATATTGTTGTAAGACAAATCCCTTAAAAGATAGGAAAAGGAAAAGAAAGGAAAAATGATTTTCTTAATTTATACAAAATTGTTCGGTTTTTACTTGAGCTTTGTCAGCAAATCATCTTCTTATAATATTGCTGGAACAATTTTTCCTAGTTTTTTTCTTAAGAAACTGACATTATTTCCATTTAACTTAATTCAGAAGGACAGAACAGAAATGGGGTACTTAAATTCAGCAGTAGTTATAAAATTAGTGCAGTAAAGAAGTATACATAACAGTGTATTTCTCTGTGGGAATAAAATAAATAATAAATTGATGTACTACATTAAAGATTGAAGGATTAGCTATTTTCTTAAAAGCTCTCTTTATTCAGCAATTGCAAGCTTCATAATTTTAATCAAATTTGGAAATAAACTACAATAATTTATTAATAGTTACCATCTATTCATTAACTAGATATTTGCTGTTTCCTAACATACCTAATGTCATTTGGACAGAACTTGCTATAAACTACAATTTATATGCTAATACTATAATACTGAACTGAATAAAAATGTGTAACACACCTGGCTTTTAATTAAGGTTTGCTTGTTTTTTAAGTAGTCAACTAACTTGTAAGATGCCTAGAATTGACTTTGGCAAGATGGGTTGCATAATTTAAATAAATAAATAAATTGTACACAAATTTGTTTTGTTGTGTTTTTATACCCCAAAAAACAAACTATCA